AGAGAAAGTGAATCGCTTGAGGCACGAATGCTGAAGCAATTCGGAAAAATAAAGAAAGAGAATCGCTTGAGGCACGAATGCTGAAGCAATTCGGAAAAATAAAGAGAGAATCGCTTGAGGCACGAATGCTGAAGCAATTCGGAAAAATAAAGAGAATCGCTTGAGGCACGAATGCTGAAGCAATTCGGAAAAATAAAGAGAAAGAATCGCTTGAGGCACGAATGCTGAAGCAATTCGGAAAAATAAAGAGAATGAGGAAGTGAATCGCTTGAGGCGTTAGACGCTGAAGCGATTTAAGAAGTAAAGAATTAAGAAAGAGAATTGCTTGAGGCGTCAGACGCTGAAGCAATTCAGAAAAATACAGGAAAGAGAGAACCATACACGAAGAAGGAAGGGGAAGAGAGAGATATATTATAAATGGTCGAATAATAATAAAAGAACAAAAAAATTGGCTTCTTACTTTTGAGATGAATGGGGTGTTGATAAATGGCTACCGGAGTCCTTTGAAGATCGGGGCCTATGGAGCAGAGTCCTGGACTGGTTGGAAGTAGATGCTGCTTTGTCACGGAAACTCCGAAATTTTTATAATTGTCACACTCGAATTGCAGAGTACGGAAGTTATAGAACTTGAGACTATTTTAAAATGTACTGTCAAAGATCGGATCCGCGCTATTGTAACTAAGGAAGTGAAGTGTTTTTCGTAGTCTCGCGGCTTCATATTTATACTTGCGGAGGGCGATATGCCCTTCTTTGTTTGCGAGAATCAAATTTTGGGAGTAGGAATGATTTAGGTCAAATGTGTGCTGATGTATCGAAGATTTAAATTGTTTTATCTTAAACCGGAAACGCGTGTGCAGTATCGAACGCTGACCTATAAGCTTCTTATAGGATCTATGAGTGGCGGTTGGTCTCTTAACTTCGCGACGCGGCCAGCTGTAGCATCCGGTAGCTGAATTTGTTAATGAGAAAAATTTTCTCTAATCATCTAATAATTGTCGATATCTGCTCACCCGTTTCTCTTAAAATTTGAAGTAAGAAGCAGGAAGAAACGATATTATTTGTTTAGGTTTCCTCGTACTCCCTATTACACTTAGTTTCGTTAATATACTTGTTATCTATCTAACGTTCCACGGAAGAAAGGAATCGTGGAGTCCTCCGGACGTAACACCCCCCGCGTTAGACAAATGTTGGGGGTGCACAACATTTGCAGAGGAAAAGTTTAGCAATGATCGATTCTTTTCTTTCTGTGGTTATGTAGTTAACGGGTATAGGAAAGTTTCCTTCTGGGGTTGTTATCCCCCAAGTGTACATTCTTGAGAAGAGGCTTTGCCTTTACATAAATTTCGGTTTTATGGTTTTCACACCGCAATAAGAAGCAGGAAGGAAAAGGTGAGACACTTATGATGTTTTTTTTTCTTTTTTTTTTTAAATCCCCTCTTTTTTTTTTTACTTATATAATAAATGATGCATTTGTGAGTATTTATTTGTTTAATAAGAGGTAGGTAAAAATGGTGAGATATCTCTTCTAACATTTCTTCGTGCTCCCTTTTTAACTTATTGCCTATGAAGGTATAAATGTTCGCGTATTATAAGATTTACTTAAATAACTAAGGAATATTACCGAAGAATATAACAAATAGTTACAAGACGAATAAACTTATTCATTACATATCCCTTTTCTTTCAAACACGATGCTCATGCAACACATACTCTTTTTTTTTATCTAAATGCTTTTGTGAAGAACTACTTGGACGTCGCAGGCTGCGAAAGGTCAAGTGTTTCATTACGGGCAGTTCCGTAGAATTATTGCTTTTGTGTGGTGACTGTCGGTATTGGTAATCCCCACCCTAACTCTAAGTATGCTTTGGTTTTTTCATTGGCATACTGGAATCCATGAAGGCAGCTGGCGCATTCTTCTGCGCTTTTTATTATGAACATTATTTTGTTGCAGACAGTGCATTTTTTCTGCCGATCCACTGAATCCATGTGGACTAGGTGATGTGCGCGGATAGGTACATAGCAAGCTGCTAAATCAATCGGCATACTTCCATAACATTCTTCACAAATCTTGACGTGATTGCCAATACGTTGGTATATTGGGCGTTTATTCCATGTGGTAACGCATCGGAGCTTGGTTAGGTATCTATAGGCATACCAATGGTGTTCGTATGTCGCCATCTCCGACTCTGCCTCTCGCCTCTTGAAGATTCAGCAGAAGTGGTTGTACTTTGGCATTTCGCGCTGCAATGACGATCAAGTAGTTACTAAGTTTTTTTTTGTTTTGTTTTCTTGAAAGAAAAGAGAATTATACATTTTTTTTATTTATTATTATTATTATTATTATTATTATTATTATTATTATTATTATTATTATTAAGGGCTTAAGTGATTTTGTAGAATGTAACACGAGAAAGATTATCGAGTGTTGAGGATCTTTCTGCAGGCGTCAGACACGAAATGCTGGCTTTTATTTATATTTTAGAGCCATGAGGAGACTGCTTGGTACTCCTCATTCTGTTTTTAAATGTGATTTGTCACATGTAATCCACAACGTCCAAATTTGATAAAATGTGTCAGTATAGAAATCGTTCTTTCTACAGATACTTTGATGCAGCTCTGGCATTCATCCGCGGGTTGTATTCGTATGATTATTTTCCTACAAGTTATACAATTTGTCTGGTTACGAACGGAATCTCCAAGGATGAGCATGTGAGCAAAGACGGGTGTATAGGTGTGTTTCTCTTCATTCGTTAAAGCTTCATAGCAATCTTTACAAATTTTGGAGGAGGTACTGGTATGTTGATGGACCCGTTCTTCCATTGTGGTAACACATTGGAGGTTCATCAAGTATTGGTGAGTGTCCCACTGATCCTCTGCTGGTTCCGTTACAGATGATTCTTCTGCTTGTTCAGCTTGTTGATTAGAGGCACAACAGAGGTAGCGTAACACAGGCATTTCGTGTACTGTAATCGACGCCGGGCAATTAACTTATGGTTATTTGAATATATGTACTTATTATATTATTACGCATGTATACTATATTATATATATATATATAGATATATTTATTTTTATTGTTACTTGGATAAACGTTTTAAATGAGTAAGTGTTACTATTTTTCTGCATATATGTATATATAGTACCATTTTTTTTTATATATATATAAGATTAAAGGCCTAAGTGATCTAACACGAGAAAGATTATCGAGTATTGAAAATTTTTCTGCAAGGCGTCAAACACGGAATGCTGGATTGTATGTATTCTAGATCCATGTGGAGACTGCTGGTACTCCCCATCCTGTTTCTAAATGTGATTTGTCACATTCTACAAATGCTTCGATGCAACTCGGGCATTCTTCCGCGGGTTGTATTCGTATGATTATTTTTCTGCAAATTACGCAATTTGTCTGATTACGGACGGAATCTTCAAAGATGAGCATGTGAGCAAAAACGGGTGTACAGATATATTTCTCTGCGTCCGTTAAAGCTTTATAGGAGTCTTCACAAATTTTGAAAAAGGTACTTGTGTGTTGATAAACCCGTCCTTCCATCGTGGTAACACATCGTAGTTTCATCAAGTACCGGTAAGCGTCCCACTGATCCTCTGCTGGTGCCGATACAGATGATTCTTCCTCTCGTTGATTAAGGGCACAACAGAGATAGCGAAACGCAGTCATTTCGTGTACTGTAACCGACGCCAGGCAGTTAGCTTATGATTACTTGAATATATGCGCTTTATATCATATTAGTTTATGTATATATATACATATATATTTTATTGTCTTGCATAATTATTATTATACTTAGATAATTTTTTTTTTTTTGCTATATATATGTTGGTTTTATATATATATATATATACAAAATAATTAAATAGAGGGGTTTACTATTTCTAACAACTTTTCACTGAGTTGTGCGTGACCTAAATCTACCAAAGTGTCTCTAATATTTATTATTTCACGACCGAATTCATTCTTCATTTCAAGTTTCACGAGTGCTCCTAATTCTTCAACGTGTCCTAGGATGCTAATCCATCCTTCGCGGCGCTCGATCAAAAATTTTGTTAAGTCCCTTGCTCGCCGGGGCCATGTTGTTTTCACGGGATCGGGTTTGATATACGCGAGCGCGCAGGGAATAGCCTGCCACTCTAACTCGCGAAATCGGTCTTCAAGTATTGTACGCGCTATGCACGTTTACACTTTTGTATTTTCGCTCGCTTTGCTACGCTCCCTCCTTCTGAAAAGAGCGCTACCTGCGTTCCCCTTCTCCTCCGCGTTCGCTTATCAGCGTTCGTTTCTGCGTTCGTTTGCGTTCGTTCGCTTCCGTATCTGTTCGTTCGCCACTTCCGTCTTCTTCTTCCTAGTTCGTTTTCGTCCAAGCATGCAGCAGCATGATTTTTCTTTACGCTTATTATATAGTCGTTTAAGTTTGCACTAGTTCACCTTCTGTGTTCTACGCTTGTCAAGCATGCACATGCATGAGTTTAATAAGAATAAATAAGTATCATTATCAACTATGTTTTCGTGTTGCTTCTTGCCAACACTGGTCCTTCGAGCATTATCACACGCTGCATCAAGCATAGCCAATTAATACTTGAGCCACAAGGCTTTCATAAGAGAAAATAGCGCTACACATAGCGCATAGAGGCACATGCCCGCACATTTGGTCCTTCGAGCCGGATACAGGATAACAAGGAATCCGTCCCAGCGATACAGAGGGTATAACCTGAAATTCATTCAAATTCTCATTCGAGCGTGCTCATAAGCCGCAAGCACAAGCATAAGTAATCTTTAGGTAAGATTGTTTCATTCACTCAAGGTAAGATAGCCATATTGCATGCGTCTTCACATTTGACCGCCATATTGGCTTTTCATTTCTCGAAACTTCGTTACACATACGTTCTCACATATACGTATATCTTCATATGCACACGCATGCGCTTCCTTTCACAATAAAGGGCATTATTCTCAATTCACTAACGATAACGTAAGAATCATAAGCATGGATTCGATATCATTGACCGAGGCCAAAACTAAACGCACAGCCGCAAAGGCTTCTCTAACCCGACACAAGTCTGCCATAGAAAGCTTTGACGCGAATCATGGATCGCGCCATGACATTATTGAACGCAAAAAAAGAATATTGGAATTATGGAATCTTTTCGACGTAGTACAATCGCGAATAGAGGTTCTTGAGAATGAAGAAGATTTATCTTCTCAAGATTTAGATCTATTAAACGCTCAACATGAGCAACACCGAGCAAGCTTCGAATCAACATACTTTAGCTTAATCTCACGCTGTGAATCCTTACTTGAGCATTTTGATCAACATAACATTAGGCTTTCTTCGGGATCTTTTAGCACGCCAGGCGCTAATTCGTCTGCCCGCAGGGAAGCGCATGTTAAGTTACCTAAAATCGAGCTTCCAGTGTTTTCAGGTTCCTACGAGGATTGGTATTCTTACCATGATATGTTTGAACAATTAATCCACAACAACCAAAATTTATCCGAGATAGAGAAATTCCATTATTTGCGATCTTCCCTCAAGGACAAGGCCGCTGAAATAATAAAGTCAATTGAAACTACCACCGACAATTATAAGGATGCCTGGAACGCTATTAAGGAACGATTTGACAACAAACGGTGGATATTACAAAGGCACATCAAGGCCATTTTCGAAATTGCTCCAGTAACGAAAGAAAATCATGCTCAGTTACGTGAATTATTAGATACAATTTTAAAACATTTGCGCGCTCTCAAAGCCATGGGAAGACCCACGGATACTTGGGACGATTTAATCGTTCATCTTATAATTTCGAAACTTGATACGGTTACTACCAAGGCTTGGGAAACAAGCATTCCTGATATGGAAATTCCCACACTAAAATCACTGACTGATTTTCTTTCAAAACGTTGCATCGCGCTTGAAGCAATTTCTAGCAAATCCTCAATCAATCAATTTGCAAAGGCAAAGAATTGTTCGGTTTCTAATCTCGCGACTTCTAATTTATCTTGTCCTAAATGTAAGGAAAATCATCCGCTTTACTATTGTGAAACATTTCTCAAATTACCAGTAGAAAGCAGAATCGCCTTTGCAAAGAAGGTTCATTTATGTCTAAACTGTTTGAGATCTAATTCTCATCAAGCTAAAAATTGCACTTCAAGCTCTTGTCGCAAATGTAAAGGTCAACACAATACACTTTTACATTTGTCAAAGACAACAGACGCTAACGAGTCGTCTAATGCGAAAACAGCTGTGACTTCCGATACAGAAATTTCTGCGAAGCCAGTCGCAACACAATGTTTATCTACTTATCAATCTCTAGGAATTATATTATCAACAGCCATTATTCATGTATTTGACTGTAATAATCACATCCATTCGTGTCGTGTATTGTTAGACAGCGGATCACAAATGAATTTCATTACGCAGAGTCTTGCCGACAAATTGTACCTCAATAAAAGGCAAATAGAGATATCTATTTCAGGTGTAACTAATGCTAACATTCGAGCCAATCAAGCGACAGTCGTTCACATAAAATCGCGGTTCAACAATTTTAGCGAGAGGATAGAATGCGTTGTTTTGCCAAAAATTACTCAACAATTGCCGCAAAAATTCATTTCCAAACAGAATATAACTATACCAAATAATTTAAAATTGGCCGATCCTGATTTTAATGTTCCCGCTGACATTGACATGCTAATCGGCGCTGAGATATTTTGGAAGCTCATTTGCGCAGGTCAAATTAAACCTTCTAGAAATAAACCAACACTGCAGAAAACTCTCTTGGGATGGATTTTATCTGGTCCGACATCAAGTATTCCTAGTAACTCCAGTTCTTCAATCATCAGTTGTTTAGCTGTAACAGAAGACTTAAATCATGCTCTCAGTCGTTTCTGGGAATTGGATCATTCGATATCCGCTTCAACTCTTTCTCCAGAGCACCAATCTTGCGAGAATCTATTCAAGGACACTGTCAAACGCAACAGCGATGGACGCTTCGTGGTCCAGCTACCGATCATACCTAACAAGCTATCTGAACTCGGTGAATCAAGGGAAATAGCCACTCGCCGCTTCAAATGTTTAGAGAAACGCTTTGTTACCTCTCCTAAATTACATGCAGAATACAAAGAATTTATACAAGAATACATACAACTTGGTCATATGCGTGAGGTCACTCACATTACAAATAATGACAGCCAAACATATTACCTACCGCATCATGCCGTATACAAAGAAACGAGTACTTCTACCAAACTAAGAGTGGTTTTTGATGGTTCTTGCAAAACAACCACTGGAATCTCGTTAAATGATGCATTATTGGTAGGCCCCACTATACAAGATGATCTGCTTTCAATATTAATAAGATTTCGTATGTACAGATATGTCATGACTGCAGATGTGGCAAAGATGTACAGACAAGTTTTAATCGATCCGAATCAAACCTCTCTGCAACGCATTCTTTGGCGTGACTCTTCGGATCAACCCATTCAAACATTCGAGCTTCTGACCGTCACGTACGGTACAGCATCTGCTGCCTTCCTAGCCATTAGATCGCTCAGGAAATTAGCTGAGGATAACTCTGAGAAGTATCCCGTTGGATCCGGGACAGTTTTAAACGACTTTTATGTTGATGACTTGGTCACCGGCGCTGACAATTTACAAGATGCCTCCTCCATCAAGATTCAGACAAGGCAATTGCTTCTTGAAGGTGGTTTCGAGCTACGCAAATGGTTCTCTAATGTACCTGATCTTCAAGACGATCAACTTTCCAATCCTGAAAAGGAATTCGTACTATCTTCCGACAAGGAATGCGAAACAAGGACACTGGGTCTTGTGTGGAACTGCACCCATGATCACTTCCAATTTTCTAGTATCTCCTGTCTGCCACCTTTGGCTACGCCTACCAAAAGGCAAGTACTATCAAGAGTCGCTTTGGTTTTTGATCCTCTCGGACTTTTTGGACCTGCGACTGTCATTGCTAAAATCATTATTCAACAACTCTGGCTCCTCAAGATTGGCTGGGATGAAGCTCTTCCCTTGGATTCAACCACTAAATGGAAACGCTACGAGCGTGAGTTGCCAATTTTGAGAGACATGACTATTTCACGACGCGCTATCGCGCTAAGTGAACATATCAACTTAGAGCTCCATGGCTTCTCTGACGCCAGTGAACGAGCTTATGGCGCGTGCATCTATTTACGTGCCACTGATGCTCACGGAAACATTTCAATTAGATTGCTCTGCTCTAAAAACCGTGTAGCTCCACTCAAGAGTTTATCAATTCCGCGCTTGGAATTATGCGCAGCCCTCTTGTTGGCTCAGATCACCGACAAGATTTTGAAACGTATTACTCACAAATTTACATCTATTTATCTGTGGACCGACTCCACCGTAGTTTTAGCCTGGCTGCAATCATCTAGTCGTACATGGTCGACATTTGTCTCCAATCGTGTTGGCGATATCCAACAATTAACCACTATACAAGACTGGCATCATGTATCCAGTCAGGACAATCCAGCTGATCTTTTATCCAGAGGCATATCTCCGGCTGCATTGCCACATGCGCATCTTTGGTGGTCGGGGCCCGCTTGGCTGAAACTTGACAAGGGGCAATGGCCTCAATTTCCATTCACTATCAACAAACGAGATATACCTGAATACAAATCTTCTGCTATCACATCAGCTACTGCTACGCTGCCATACTTTGATATTTTCGAGCGTTTCTCAAGTTTCATGAAACTTGTTCGAATCGCAGCATACATCTTTAGATTTTTCAACAAATTAAAACAAAGAATCAAGCCTGATCAGGAGCTACAATCTGCTAACAATAAAACTCTTGTCATAACTCCTGATGAAACGGACCACGCCATCAAGATTTTGTTGAAAATAGTTCAAAAACTGCATTTTCCTAAGGAATTGGACTCGCTTTCCAGACAACAAAATCTTAACAAAAATAGCCCAATCGTACGATTAAATCCGTTTATCGATGCAGCAGGAATTCTGAGAGTAGGAGGTCGACTCAAATTATCGCATCTCCCGTACAATGCCAAATATCCAGCTCTATTGCCTGGAAATCATCCGTTTTCTCGTCTCATCATCATACACGAGCACGAGAAACACTTTCATGCAGGGCCCCACGCCACGTTATCTGCTGTTCGACAAAATTATTGGCTCATAGCTGCAAGGGACGTTGTACGACAAATCACTCGCAAATGCATTGTTTGCTTTCGAAGCTCACCTAAGATGGCATCCACGCTAATGGGGAACCTTCCCGAATCCAGGATCACAATTCCCGAGCGTCCTTTCGAAAATTGCGGAGTCGACTACGCGGGTCCTCTCTACTATAAAGAAGGCTTAAGAAAAACTTCTAAGCTATTAAAATGTTATATTGCAATATTTGTTTGCTTCGCCTCAACAGCTGTTCACATTGAACTAGCAACTGATTTATCCACTAAAGCATTTCTTAATGTTTTAAAGCGTTTTATTTCTAGACGAGGATGCCCAACTATCATTCATTCGGATAATGGCTTAAATTTCAAAGGAGCTCAAAGAGAATTAAACGAGCTAGCCGCATTGTTCAAAAATCAAGAAAGCCATCAACAGATTATTAACTACGTGTCCTCTAAAGGAATCAGATGGCGCTTCATACCCCCTAGAGCGCCCCATCATGGTGGACTATGGGAAGCTGCCGTCAAGGGAGCCAAACGTCATCTCTATCGAGTTACTAGAGAGGCGCATCTAAGATACGAGGAGCTAGAAACACTAGTTATCCAAATTGAAGCGATTCTTAATTCGCGTCCTCTCACACCCGTTTCATCTGACGTGGCCGACCTTACGCCACTTACTCCAGGTCACTTCGTAATCGGAGCACCATTGACATCGTACCCTGAACCATCATTGGAAAGAATCCCGATTACTAGGCTCTCTCGTTGGCAACGGGTGGAGCAAATACGTCAACACTTTTGGCAAAGATGGTCAAAGGAATATCTGCATTATTGCCAGCAGCGAAATAAGTGGACAATTAAGGAAAATCCATTACATGTCGGACAGATGGTCCTTCTAAGAGAGGATTCTGCTTCGCCTCTTTCTTGGCCTCTCGCTAGAATCGTCGAATTACATCCCGGTAATGACAACATTGTTCGTACAGTCACAATTCGCACATCGTCTGGCATTTATAAGCGTCCCATTACACGATTATGCGTTCTTCCCTTTGATAGTAACTAAGCTCGTATCATTTCATTAATCTATACTATTATTTTGTACTTTTGAATTGCGTAAACATAACATTATTTGTTGAAAGCTGAAGCTTTCAAGGGCGGCGGTTTGTACGCGCTATGCACGTTTACACTTTTGTATTTTCGCTCGCTTTGCTACGCTCCCTCCTTCTGAAAAGAGCGCTACCTGCGTTCCCCTTCTCCTCCGCGTTCGCTTATCAGCGTTCGTTTCTGCGTTCGTTTGCGTTCGTTCGCTTCCGTATCTGTTCGTTCGCCACTTCCGTCTTCTTCTTCCTAGTTCGTTTTCGTCCAAGCATGCAGCAGCATGATTTTTCTTTACGCTTATTATATAGTCGTTTAAGTTTGCACTAGTTCACCTTCTGTGTTCTACGCTTGTCAAGCATGCACATGCATGAGTTTAATAAGAATAAATAAGTATCATTATCAACTATGTTTTCGTGTTGCTTCTTGCCAACACTGGTCCTTCGAGCATTATCACACGCTGCATCAAGCATAGCCAATTAATACTTGAGCCACAAGGCTTTCATAAGAGAAAATAGCGCTACACATAGCGCATAGAGGCACATGCCCGCACAAGTATGTAAATTTCATAACAGGGCCTGTCGATAGTCCGGCCCCAGTTTCTTAGGTCGATTTCGGCGGTACCGTCCTTTCGGATCTGAGTTAAGATGCCCCTTTGCCATCGCCGTCCTTCTTTAACTGCAACTATTTCATCTAGATTGCTACGGTTAGGTAACAGGGGTAATTGATGGTGTCGCCGTGTCATTCGGTGAGATCCTCGATTAGTTCTTGAAAATCGTCGTGGCTGTTCTTTAGTTGCGCCCAAAACAAGGTTGGTGAATCTACCTTTACTATTTTTGCTTTTAGTGGACTGCGGGTCAACATTCTTGTATTTATGTGGCTGATCTCCGTTGTCATCTACAAGAGAATAAACGATTATGCTATATTGGTTATTTAGGAAGGTGCAGAGATAGAAAAGGTTCCAGTAAATTTAGAGGTTCTGGTGCTAAGTGGTAGATTCACATAGGCGCCTTGACGGTTTACCCTTTTAATTCAAGGGTATAGGTAGAAGTTTCCTTTGGAGGAAGGAGGAGGTAAATGAATTCCTTTTTCGCTTCGTCTTGTAATTCAGGGCCTTTTGTTTGATGGATTTCCGACTCAGCGGGGGCCGAAGCGGTTACTTTTTCGGCATCTGATTTCCCTCTTCCTAAGTGTAACAGGAGCTGAGTGAGCGAATCCCATATAGCTCCTATTAAATACACTGACCACCCGTATACAGTGTGCAGGGCATATCCATGCACGATGGTGTCTAAAATTAATTTTACTATTCTGACGCTCATATATATACCGATTATTCCAGCGCTGACATTGCCAAAAATTAAAAATCTGTTCCAGAATTTCTCCCAGGCAGATGCAGCTATTTTTTCTATTGATGCTTCGTCTATTAGATTGGAAAATGACCCTCCGTTTATAAAACCTGGTTGTCCCATCATTCCTCGTGCTATGGTGTTAAGTACCGAGGGTCGTTCCGCTGGAAACATATGATCTCGTAAGGTCTCCAGGTCATTTTCCGAGTATATTCCGCTCGTAGCGAGCGATCCAGGGCTGACATATCTCCATGTAGATCTAGTCATTGGTTTTAAAATAACAGGCGGTAGTGTTTCCATTGGTTTTGGCGCGAGTCTGTACCATGAATCTTCTAGAAGGTACATAGCAGGTGTCAATGCGTTGCAGGTAACTTGTGTTCCTTGTCGTAGTAAGATGTGAGTTTGCGGGGTTAGAAAATGCGTTTGGTTGTTTCGAGTTACTGGCAGTTGGTCGTAACATTCTTGAGTATGAGCAAGTTTTACTTCGACGGGTACACACTTTATTATATGTATTACAATTCTCCTGCCAATAAAGCCATGTACCCGGGTCCCTGCATTAAGTGATAAGCAAAAGCATCGGGGGAATGAACAGCGAGGGCCAAAGCATTCTTTAATATTTTTTGTTC